CCTAGGCGACGGCGGGGCGGGCCCCGACGACCCTCAGCTTCTTCCCTCCCCGTCCCAAAGCCTCCAAAGAGCAGCAGCCTCGCGTTCACACTAAGTCCTCAATCTGACGCCTGCTCCCGCACCCCGCTCCCCGCCTCCCGCCCCCTGACCTGCAAATTCCTGGGCCCAACCGGGCTGCAAAGCTAAGGAGGTTTTGGGGAATCCGGGAAAGGGGCCGAGGGAAATAGGGGAGAACTGGAAATTAGAGAGGAAGGAGTGTCGGGATGGGGGTGCGGGAGGTCGGGCTCAGTCACTTTCTTAATAGTTGCCTGCACTGAGGGTGGGGGCTCGGGGCTTCCGTGGCATCCAAGCCGGGAAAAGCAGGCACCCGGGGGAAAAGGATTCTCTTCTCGACGTGTTCACCAGGAGAACAGTGAAAATTTGCCTTAGGTGGCCAATTTTCTCATTTGCCCCTATTAAAAGAAAAAGCCCAAGAAATTCAATTAAAGCCACCCTGGCCAAGGCGCTATTTGAGGCATGAATGTCTCCCCTAAAGCTGCAGCAATCATGTGGCATTAGACACTTCCGGAATCCTATAGCCAACCTGAAAAATCCCAGACCCCCTTTTTCCCTAATTTTTGCTCTGATCTGTAATTTTATCCACATTTGCACTAGTTTGAGCATTCTGGCTCTCCCATCTGAAAGCCTGCAATTACTATATAATTCTTCGCAATTTCAGATGTCCTAATATGGACTGTAATTTTTGCGCAAGACAATTTCCTGCTATTTCAAGCATCAACATTGTCAAAGTTGTATGTACATAATAAATGGGAATATCAATGCATAGTTTTTAGCATAACATCTTGACTCCTCGATAATTATATCCGTTCGGAGCCTACGCAGAATTAGCCTGAATTGCATGGTAACTGCTGCTGCTTTAAAATTTTTAAAAATTACTCATAATTTTCCCAAAGATTACCAAGATCTCGAGTGCACAATGTCATCAGCGTAATGAAGAGTAAACATTTATGCTAATAATCTGCAATTTTTTTCATCAGCTATAAAGACAGAGGCTATATAGCCGAAAATTTCAGTCCTATTCTGCAAGCGCAGCGCTGCAAAAAGCCTGCGGCGCTCGGAGGCGCCTGGTCCTGGAGACCTCTTTCCACTCTTTACTCTCAGGATAGGAGGATGGGGCTGGGGGTTTCTTTTTGGTTTTCTGGTTTTGTTTTGATCTGGTTTGGTCGGTTTTGTATTTCCTATTTTTCTTTTTTTCCTTTTTTTTCCTTTTTTCCTTTTCTTTCCTGTCATTCTCCCAGCCAAATGCCGCCTTCGACCCTTTTGATTTGATCTAGCAAAGATTGTGTCCAGATTATCTGAAATTGACACTGAAGAAGGTAAGGGTGGAAACTGGTTTCATTTTTCAGAGGGTTGGAAGGCTGCGCTGCGCCCGCCGCGGTGGCTCCCGCTCCGGGAGTAGGAGGGTGGGGGAGTGATTATGTATGCACCAGCTAATTCTTCCATCAAAACTTCTTGTCAGCGATGTCAGGATTATTTTTTTTCCTTTTTATAAAAACACTTGATGTTTCAGGAAGTGTTAATCCCTGAAGGTTGGGGGATGAAGGCGGGGGTAGCAAAGGAGTGGGTGTGGGTGACAGGTTTCTTGAGCCTGGGGAAGGCACCCTTTAGAGCCGTTTGCCTGTCTACACTGGAGTTGGGGTCTGCTGTGGAGCTGGGGACCGAAGGAGGGTTTCTTTGAGTCATGGGAGGGAGAGACCCTTACCCTCCGTACTGCCTTCGATGGAGGTGCCTATGGCTTGTGCAGGATGAGGAGCGGGAAAGTTTGCTTTAGCCTGTGATTTCAGGATGTTTAACGCAGGCGGTGGCTTGACAAAACCCAGATAATTCTGAAATCGGTTTTTAAAAGATACAGAATGAAAGAGATGGATAGCAGAATTTTTTTAAAAAAGATAGCTGGGGACCTGGGTTGCTTCTTTCCTCTCAATTTTTCTTGAGGTCAGGTATCTCAGGTTCTATATCCAGCACACAGACCTACCTTTCCATAGATGACAGAAATGGACAATTTCTTCAAGAGGAGAGATTTAATTAATTTTCCCATCAAATGATTCTAGGAATGAAATTATATTTCTATGCATATAGATAGAGGAATTTTTAAACTTGTTGTAGCTCTTAAAACCAACGCAGAACCGGAAAGGCTGAAGAGCCATCTGACCCAGCCCAGGTTCAGGTCCCGAAAAGAAAGAAAATAAAACATAATAATCAATGAAGGAAAGCTGTGAACTATAAACATGTTTCCATTTCATATTTTTCAAATTTTGCCTAGATTTGGAAGCTGGATTCTTGGACAACTATACTACTACTTGCAGGACCACTCAGTCCCAGGCTTATGAAAGCCAAGACCAGCGAGAAGGGGGCTAGGGATTGTTGCTTGTGCCCTAAACCCCCCACCCTTGCCCCTTTTAGAGCTAGTGTGTGTGAGAGAAGACATTAAAGAGGTATCTGTTGTTTGGCAATTTTGCTAAGTCTGTCTTCACTACTCCGACGCTGTGCATTTGCTAATTTGGAGGCCTGGCCATTGACAAGCTTGCTCCATACACCTGCAAGCAATTTGCCGGCTCCGGTACCGGAGAATTGCAGAGATGGCAGCTCGCACCTATTTGATTTTTTTTTCCCTTTTCTCAATGCACAGCAAATTTGGCTTTCAGTGCGTTATCTCTTTTGTTAATGCAAAAAGATTCCCTGGGCGAAAAAATTGCTCATAATTACCAGAGAGATGGGGAAACTGCATTAGAATAAATAAACCTGAAATTACTGTAATTATGTTGTGTTTGATGGGCCCGGCTTGTAATCAAGAAGAGAATACAGTGAAATGATGCTGACCCTCTTGGGTTTGCAGCTGTACGCGCACTTTGGGGTCTTTTTTTGCAGAAAAGAGTCATTTTGATAATCATTAAGCTGTGTGTAACCTATTTCAGAAGTGTTTTAAAATGAGGTTCACATTTTTTGAACAAGGGGAAAAAAATCCCAAAATTGCATTTTGCCATTACAGACTCATACATAAGGAAAGGTTGTGTTTTCTAAGTGACAATTGTTAAGACATAATATTCGAAATCAGTATTTAATCATTATAATGAGGTATTGTTTAAATATAACCACCTTTAGATTATTCATAGTTTAATTAATATACTCATTATGAAAATCTTTGAATCAGATATTTGATGAACTACTTGTCAGTAACAAGGCAGCATTAATTAGGCCTATATTGAGATTAACATTTTTTAAAAGTGCAACCGCTTATAATTATAATAGAGCCTAACTAAAGACCGCCTTCGTTGAGCTAAAACTAATAATTTCTCTATTTGAACTGTTAGCAAGAGATTATTAAATTAGTATAAGCTAATATCTCATAATATTAAAATCCGCTTGACCAAACAGATTTTGCCTGTGGCTTCAGGCACTGGGCCCTGGCTGCTGCACCGGAGTTGGATGTGCGAGAGCGACCCACCAAAACCTCCCCTCTAGCAAAGACACATCTCCAAGGAAAACCAAATCAGGGAAGGTCCCTATCCCGGCGGCGGAACCCAGCCTGGGAAACCGTGTTCCCTCTCAGCTTTGAGGCCAATCCACTCCCTGCCTCAGAGATTTGATCTCCCCAGTTTGCACCCCGGGTTCTGGAGACCTGCGGGAGCGGTAAAGCCACAGTCCCAGGGCCCGAAGGGGCCCTGAGGTCCCCGGCTCCATCCCCCACTATTTCCCCAGCTCCCTGCAACACCGCCCCTCCACCACTTCCCCTCCCCTTCCCAAAGGGCGTCAGAAGAGCCTGGAGCATCTGCTCTTTCACCAGCACCAATTGAAAAATGGGTGCTTGTCACAACACAGATCACTGCCTTCCCCGCTTTGCTCCCCACCGCGCGCTGCAACGGCCCCCCAAAGGCGGAGGGCCAGCCCGCTGGAAGCAGTGTCGCAAGGCGAGTGCAAGGGATGCAGGAATCGCTCAAAGCAGCCCGTCGGGGCCCGCAGCTTCCCAGAGCTTCCTCCGCTTGGCTGTAGGGTCTGGGGTTGAGGTTGGGGTGAAACGCCAGGCCACCGGGTGGAGGGAGCCAGGCTGGTTCTAGTTGCTCGGAGTCCACTCTGTCCTGGAGGGGATTCATCAGAGTGTTCCCTGGAGGAGCTCCCTCCCCGGCCTGGCCTCCCGACCCTGGGGCTAGACTGAGGGGTCTGGCTTCTGCCAGCCCCGTGGTTCCAGGAGCCCTCCGAGCCCTCCTGCCCCTCCCTTGGCATTTCCATCTGAGGCTCAGAGAGCAGCTGAGGATCATTAGGCGGGAAGGGGCTTCTCGTCGTGGATGGGCCCGACGGGTGGGAGTGACTGTGGAGGGGCCCAGATGGCGCCTGGGGACTGTCCCTCGGAGCTCGCTGATTGACTGGGTGTAGCCCGACAGACGAGTCCTTCCGGCCCCTTTCCGGTGTCTGGCTGCGTCTTTTCCGCGTCGGGTTCGAGCGCCCTGCGGGCAAGCAGAAGCCGGAAGGCCAGATCTCCGCGCTGGCGAGGGGGCAAAGCCCTGTGTCTCCACTTTCAGTCCTCTTGGCTTCGGGCGGTGACTGGGTGTGGGGTGGCACTCACATCTCCAATGCCCGCTACCTTTGAGCTCTGCTTTCCCCTCCTCTCAGCCAGCCTGCACAGTCCCTTTGGTTCCTGAGACCTGGCTCTGTCACACAGCACCTGTTCCCTATCCCCCCTTCCAAGGACCCTTGCCAGACAGTCGCTGCCCACCCTCCTAACCCAGGTAGGGATCAGACCCCTTGGGGCCCAGAAGCAGGGCAAGATGAACGGTCCCAGCCGCTTGGGAGGGCCTTGGGGGTTATTCCCGTAGTCTGGAGCCAGGAGTCCCTTACCCCTGCACTATCTGTCCCCAGAGGGGGAGGCCTGGCTCAGCCCACAGCACCCCCTCACACAGCACACCAGACAGCAGTTCTTTCTCGAAACCATAATTTTACTGTCTCAAAGAAACTTTATAACTTATTTACAAAGTTCTTTTTTTCCCAAGATACAAAGCAATAAGTTAACATTCTCAATATAAAACTAAACTTTGACATAGAGAACACAAAACACGGTTGATTTCAATTGATCACATTTTCCAAATTTCACAAGTAAAATGTCAAGATTCTCATTTCACAAAGCATCAGGTTTTACAGCCACACACAACAGAACGGAAAAGAGCTAAGCTTGTGCAACATGTTTACGGAACAATAATAATAACAATAATAATTAACAACAATAATAATATGTACAGCGATTAGACCCTGCACTGGAGACTGGGCGTCCAGGGTGCCGCCTGGTGTTATTCTGTGGTCCGAGCCTCTGGGGATTAGTGTTGCTTTTGTCTTTCTTTAAAGCTCACTGGCTTTAGGGCACTCGTTTATGCCTGCCTGTTTGTTTGTTGTTTGTTTCACTGCCCATCGGGCCACTCTTTCTTGCTCCCCAAGGAGGGAATTAGAATTTTCCTTCTTGTCCAGGCAAAGCGACCAAGTGTTTTTTCCCCGAGATGAGAAAATTGTGTTGGCTTCGTTTCTCCTTTTTTTTCTTTTAAAAATAATACGGGACATGTAAAAATGCAAAGCATTAGGTTCCAACCTCTCCATACCAGCGAAGTACAAAAGTTACTGTATAAGTTAAAAATCACCAGGTCCTCCTTAGTCGTTTTCCCCGGGGGTGCGTTTGAAGTCACCGGTACTACGGGACCTTGTGCTCCACAGAATTGGCCAACATCCACCCTCAGGCGAAGTCCATTCCTCAATAAATAAAACCCCCTCCCTCCAGTTTCCCCCGATTCCCGAACGAGCTACACAGATGGCTAGGCAGGCCCAGGAGAAGGTCCGAAAGGACAAGACGTCCCAGCCTGCGGAGCTGGGCGGCCGGCGGCCCGGGCCTCTTCCGACCTGGTGACTTTTTTCAGAGGCCGCAGAACGAGGACAGCGGACAGACGAGGACCTCGACTTCGTCGGCGCACAGATACAGAGCGAAAGGAGACAAGAGACAGACAGAACAGAAAAAAAAAAAAAGCTTTTGCTTTTTCTACATTTTTTTTGTGGGTTTTCTTTTTTTTTCCTTTTTTTTTTTTTTTTTCCTGATGGTCCCACGCAGCTGAGGGTCGGCGAGTCGGGGCCAGCTGGCCGGTCGCGCTGCTCTGGCCGTGTCTCGGGCGGTCGCGCCTGCGTTCGGAGGCCGCTGTCACCGCGCGGCCCAGGCGGGGCGAGGGCGAGCGCGTGGGCGCCGGGGAGTCGCGGGTGCGGACCGCGCGGGACTCCAAGGAGGTGGCGGGCGTCCGGCCTTCGCGGTTCCTTCTTCTTTGCCCCTGGGCCCTTCCGGGGGAGGGGGGGCGCCCGGGGCTTGCGGACGGGGTGGATGGACCGGGAGGCGGGAGGGGCCCGGGCCGGGGGAGACGGGAAGGAGGCGGGAGGGTGCGGGCGCGCAACCTCACATGAGCTGGGGCTGCTGCATAGCTTCTTGGTGCGCCGAGGGGTACCACGACGTGTAGCTGGGGATGTAGGAACCCGCGCTGCCGCCCGAGCCCTTCCCAGATGAGGAGTTGGGGTTCCAGCCCGGCGGCACGGGCGGGGAGCCGGCCGACAGCGCCCGGCCGTTGGCCAGCGCGCTACCCTCCAGAGCCGCCCCGCCCTGCTTCATCAGTTTCTTGAACTTGGACCGCTTGTTCTGGAACCAGATCTTGACCTGCAAGAGCGGACAATAATGTGACTGGCTAGGTCCATTGTGCCTACCGTGGTGGTGGGGAGATGGGGGGGACAGTGGAGACAGGATGCCCCTGCGCGACTGGGCAGCGCTTGCTGGGGGAGCAGAGCACCCCTCACCTATGGGAACCAAAGCCTCGGAGGCCAGGCCGCCGGCCGCAGGTGGCCCCCAAGGGCAGCTCGCAGGGAGCCAAGGGGGCGTGGTGGTGAGGAGTTAGGGGGGTATTCAGGCCTTCGCTTGTCAGGGGCTCAGCCCGACCCTGGCAATCGTCTGGGGGGAAGAAGCAGCGCCTGCACGACCTCGAGTCTTCAAGTCCAATATGATCATCAATAAAAAAGAATCGAGCGGAGGAAAGGAGTGGAGGAAATTTATTTGCAATGCCACCTGCTTTCTCTTTGCTCCAGCCTTTCTGTCCCTGAGTGAGTTGGGGGCTGACTGAGGCCAAAAGGTTTTTGTTAAACTTTTTCATTTGGACTTACATCAACCTTTCCTTAGTGTCTGTTTGCTCTCCCCAGCTCTGCTCCAAATCCCGGCCCAGACGTTGGAAACGTGCGCCAGTCGTGGTCAGAAAGCCCCATGGGCTCCCCAGAGTCTTAGAGCAATCCGGGAAGGAAGGTCCCACGTTCCTCCTCCAGGGTCTGGGACTTGGGAGGTGACAAGGCGGAGGAAAGGATTTCCCCACACCCCAACCCGGTGAGGAGGAGGAGGAGGAGGAGGAGGAGGAGGAGGAGGAGGAGGAGAGGAGGAGGAGAAGGGAAACAGAGGTTCTGGCCCAGGCCCTGAGTGATTAGCCACACACTTTAAAGGCAAAGAAGGGATTAAGCCCAGCGTCTATTGTTCCAGTTGTTCGGGCACGTGTGACCTCAGAGTCCCCAAACAAAACGTCTAGGGAAATCCTTCCGCGCCCTAATCAGATTGTCCAGGGACTGAGGGCCGGGCGGCAGGCAGCGCGGAGTACAGAGTGCAGCGGCAGAGCCGGAGCAGAGAGAACGAGGGAGGAAGGAGAGCCATGGGTGGGACGGACACACCACACACCACACACACACACACACACACGCAGCAAGCACGCGCGCACACACGCACACAGTCTCCGACCCTGAGGCCCGGAGAGCAAGAAATGAAGCTCCGGGCGCAGGCCGGCCGCGGGAGGCCCGCTTGGCAGAGGGGCCGCGGCGAGGTACCTGCGTCTGCGTGAGTCCCAAGGAGGCCGCGAGCTCCGCCCTCTCGGGCAGAGCTAGGTACTGAGTTTGCTGGAACCTCCGGTTCAAAGCCTGCAACTGCAAACTGGAATAAATCGTCCTGGGTTTGCGGATCTTTTTCCCCTTGCCATTGAAGCGCACTTCGCCGCCTTCCACCACCGTGCTCTTCTCCGAGTCGGCCCCTGGAGGGACAGCAGAAGCGGGGGGGCCGCTGTTAACGCGGGGACAGCCTTTAGTGCGGGGAGCCGAGGGCGAGTGGCAACCGAGGGGTGGCAGAGGCTGGGCCGAGAGAGAACGCTCAAGAAAACTCCGAAAGCCAGGGAAGGGTCCCGCAAAGTCCGAGGGCCGGCCCCGGGCCGCAGCAGGCGGACTGGGGCAGTTCCCAGGCGTGCAGTTCCTGCCTTTGCAGAGAAAGTTTGCTATTTTTTGCAGGCGGTAGTTGAGGTTTAATTACCCTTAATTGCATACATTGTTTATAGCGCTACGCAATAAATAATTACTGAGACTAATACGTGCACATGTGGGTTTCTGTTTTCCAAAGGGGCATTGTGTGCTCGGCGCACAGAGCCGCCCAGAGGCCCAGACAGTGCCAGGGGACGCTCTCAGATTTATCCTTTGCTGGATAGTTGCGAGTTGGGTGGAATTTTTTTTAAAAAAATTTTTTTCTTTGCTCTGACAAGGATCCATACATAGATTGATACCCGAAACCTCCATTGCTCCGGCGCCCTCCCCACCCCCACCCCCACCTCGCTCTCCCCCTCTCCCTCCTCTCTCTCTCTCTCTCTCTCTTCCTCCCCCCTTTCCTCCCTCCCTTCCTCCCTCCTTCCGTCCCTCTCTCCCCTGTACCCTGTCCTCTCCCTCTCCCTGGCAGGCGCACGTACCTGGGTCCTCCAGGCGGCTCTGGGCGAGGCTAGCGCTGCCCGGGTAGGACTGCACCGAACTGATGTAGGGGCTGGACGCGTGGCTGCTGACCGAGTTGACGTAGGGGTAGCCCAGCGGTCGGGAGAAAGACGAGGCCGAGCTGTAGGCGCCGTCGGGCTGCGAGTGGCCCGCCGAGTGTAAACAGTGCATGGAGTAGTGCCCGTGGGACATGGGAGAAGGAGACATTTGCTGGTTGGGTGGCCCAAACTCCATAAACACCGCCTTGCCCGACACGGGGCTGTTGAGACTTTCTGGCATGGTGGTCATGGTCATCTCTTCTCGCGGGGTCTGGGTGTGGGTCTCTCTCTCTCCTCTGCTTCCCTTTTGGGGGTCTCTGTGTTTCTCAGGACAGGAAGGAACCCAATTTAAGCGGAACAGGGGTTTTCACTTTCCATTCATAAGAAAATGGAGTTTGTCTCTTTGAAAAGTCTAAGCATGATGCTGCCGAGCTCCCCAAACTCGCTTCAAAGCTTTGACTCAGCCAAGGTCATAAATATTCATGAGCTGGCGGAGCTGATTGGTCCGCTGTCTTGCATAATCACCGGGGATTGGTCCGAGGCGCTCCGGCTCCGCTGGACTAGAGCGGGCGAGGCGGCCGGGCCTGGGGAGAACCGCGTCCGCACGTCCCGGCCGGGGCTCCTCTGCAACAGAGCGCGCCGCGCGGAGCGCACAATGGGCTGCGGCGCCCGCGCCGGGACCTCCGCGGCCCGCGGCTCTCGAGCCTCCCGCCTCCCCGGCGCGCCTCACTTCCCAGAAACCCGCCAGCGGCTCGGCGCAGCCGCCCTCCCCCCGCGACTGTCCCCACCCTCCGCCCGCCCCCAGCGCCGGGCCCGGGGCGCCGCTGCTCCCAGCAGCCGCGGTGCCCGGGCCCAGCGCTCCGCCTGGGCGGCCCGGGAGCCCGGCCTCGGCGGCCTCGCAGCGCCAAGCCGCGCGCTGCGGCCGGGGGCGGGGGCCACCTCCGGCTCCGCGGAGGGCGGCGGGGCGCGGTGCTCCCGAGCGCCGTGTGCCCAGCGCAGCGCCCTGCGCGGCGGCGCCTCCCAGGCCTGGGTCCGCTCAGCCACATCCCCGGGGTCGGCTTTGGGGCCCCCCGGGCGAACTCACTCACTCGGCCGCCGCGCCGCCGCCGCCGCTCCCTGGGGCCCGCTCGCATTGCTCCAGGCCCAGCTGGCCGCTCCAGCTCGAGGCTGCACCGGTCTGATGAGAGCAGAGCGCGCGGAGAGCCAGGAACCCGCGCTTCTCCTCCCAGGAAAGGCGGCCGCACCGCCCCCTCCCCCAGCACACACCCCCTCTCTCCCTCCCTGCCTTCCTCCGCCTCCCCCTCCCCTCCACTCCCTCTGCGCCCAGTGCCCTGGACTCACTCGCCCCAAGGGCGCGGCGCAGAGTGGAGCCGAGGAGCCGGCGGGCTCAGTTCGGCTCGAGCCCCGGGCCCCGGGTGGTCATCCTCCGGCCTCCCGGGGCCTGGCGGGAGGGCCCGGGGCTTGGGAGGCCTGCGGGCCACCGGGACCCGCGGCAGACCCGGGCCCGCGGGGGCCCGCGGAGCAGGTGACGGACACGTCTCTCGTGGTCGCCCAGGGTGCTCCTCATCTCCAGTGGTCAAAGCGGGGCGCCCCTGGGCCTGGGGGCAGGGCTGGCAAAAGCCGCCGCGGCGCCTTCTATCTTCTGGGGCGCTAGTAGGGGAAGGCGCACAAAAGCCCCCCGCCGCCGCCACCACGCAGCCACCCCCACGAGGCGTGGCGCGCACCACGCTGCCTGCGAGGGGCTTGTTGGTTCCCCATCCCGCCAGCCCCACGGTGAATCCCAAATTACTTTGTTAGGTAATTAGAAAGTGTTGATAATTATTTCTTTCATAATTTAGCGGTGTGACGGGGAACGGGGAAATGATCTTGTGAAAGTTCACACGTGCAGATGTATTAGTTACTGATTCATTTGATTAAATGGTAGTCTCAAGTGCTCGGATCCGCAGCTGAAGGCGCCCCATTAGCATAACACTGATGTTTAATTTTCATACGCATAATTAGCCATATATTTAACACTAATAGCAACATGCAGCCTTTCAGCGTTAAACAGCCCGAGATCTGATCTGGCCTGAGCTGAACCTTCGGCGATGCACCTTCCCCTGTCTGGAGTGCGCAGTGATCACAGGACAAACCTCTGTAATCAAGCACATTTTGGCAGAGGGAACACCAATAAAAATAAACATTCAAAACAAATTACATCGGTGCTGTCGTTACAGATATTAGTGGAAGGGGCTTCTCTCTTTTTCAACTTCTGTAGCCGCAGCTGCTGCCCGCGGAATTTCTCTCCTTTGGTTGAAGGGCCTGATTTTGGGGGGTAGCAATATTTCAGGCAGCGTGGTTGGAGCAAAAAGAAAAACAAAAGCAAAAAAAATCCTTTAAACCAATAACTGGTTTGCCAACGTTTAAAAAGATTTTTCCCCCCCTTAATCACCGAACCACAGGGTGATGCTTTGTAGCAACAACCAGCTAATCACTCCGCCACCACCAGCCTACTCCCGGAGCCGCTCGACTCCTCTTGATTTCCGTGTTGCACTTGTGGTTTTAATTGCTCCTTCCCAGCGCCTGTCTCGGGGTGTGCGGCGCGGGGCGGTGCGCCCTGCACTGCAGCTCGGACGCCGCCCGGGCCGCTGCTCTTTGCGCGCGCCTCGAGCGGGCTCTGCCCACGTAAGTGATCGCTGCGGCTGGCCGGCGCGGTGGGGTGGGCACCGGGCAAGCGGCTGCTGACTTCGGGGGCGCAGGGCTGGGCGTGAGGAAACCCGACGGCCGGGCGCCGAGGACTGCGAGGTGGGGGGAAGGGGGGTGGTGGAGAGGCGGCCCGTCTCCAGGGCCCCCTGTCCGCATCCGAAAGGGGGAATCCACGCTTCTCCAGCGCGGGGGGACCGGGCTGGCTCCGTGCAACAAAGGACCCGCACGCGCCTCCTCGGGAAAGGTTTTTCTGAGCCTTGTTTATTATAGAAATGAGTTATATGTGGGCGAGGGAGTGTCTACACTGGGGAATGATTTCGGAGCCCCAGAGACGCAGGTCCCGGGAGGGGCGGCTGAGCCGGGCCCTAGGGCGCTGAGCCGCGGGGCCTCCAGCAGCTTCGCAGCGCGCGGTCTTATCTCCACTCCGTCAGCGCCCAGTGGATCCCCCCACCCCCCACAGCTGGGACGACACCTGTTCTGAAACGTTGGTGTGCTTAGATGATTGCCTGTCCCAACTCTGACAGGCAGCACAACTCTCAGGTTTATCCCGGGTCCCGAGTAGAACCCGTGGGAGCCACCGCAGGACCCGCGTCCAGGGGTGGTGGCTGTGGCCACGCGTGGGCCGGCGTCCCGGCGACCCCGGGTGAGGTCTGGGGCCCGTTGGGCTGGAAGGTGGTGGTGGCGGTGGTGGTGATGCACAAAGTATTTTTAAATCTGCTTTCTAACTTCAACTTCAAAGCCTGTTAAAGGGAGTTCGTTCTAAATCGAGTCTGTTTCCTAGGGAGCTGCTGGTATTGGCTGGTATATATATATACACACATAGACACCTAGATGTGTGTATGATGTTTAAACTAGGCTTAAACTAGTTACTTGAATAAATAGGATTATAAACCTGTCCCATAAATACTTCCACCTCAGAATAATTGCTGCACGAACAGCATGTTTTCCCAGTGGTTGGTAAAATCCTGTGGTCCTAATAAAATTATTCTTGGGGAACTTAGAGTAAACTGATCCGTAGATAAGATAAGCGGCTACCCGTTGCACTCTGATTGCCCTAGGAGAGAAGTGAAATCATTATCTGGCAAACGGCTCTCTTCCAAGGCCATCTGGGCCAGGTTCCTTACTACAGAATCGAACTGTCCTGGAGTCTCTAGGCCTTTGCTTGGTGAATGTTTCAAGCCCCCCCTGAAAAGTTTTTCTATGGTCCTGGTATATCTTCAACTCCTCCCTCGCTTTTTCCAGCTCTCGGATCCACTTGAATTGGAATCACCTCTGTCCAAATTCTACATCCCCAGGCACAGAGAAGGGGTACTGGAAGGGTTGGAGGATGCCCAAGAGAATCTGAGTTCAGGGGAAAGCTTGAACTAGCCACTTCTCCAAGTGCTGTTATTGGCCTCAGTTTCCTATCTCTTTTCCCACCACTCTGAGCGTCACAGAGACCACCTGTCACAGCAACTACAGGTGCTTGCATTTCCTTGGTGCTATCCCGCCCAAGCTATTTTTAGTGGGTGATAACTTTGCAAAAGCAGCTTCAGTAGAAATAGAAGTTTGCACAGTCCCTGACTGCCCAGACACCCTCACTGAACTCGCTCCTAAAACCGTGATCAGAGGGGGACTACTTTCTATGTGGTCTACTAAACTCCAAACACCTCTTCACCTGAACCCAGGTGTGAACAGGTGCGGGGCGGGGGGGGGGGGCTTGCATGCTGAAGAAGGGAGGATATTCTGATCAGAAATGGGCCTTTGGGAAATGCAGAATGTGGGCCTTTGGATTTCCTGCTTCTGAAGCAGGTGGAGCTGCAGGCTTGCCAGCTCCAATCCCAGCTAACTTGGCTCTTGCCCTCAAAAGTTTCCATATCGTCCCCTGCTGGGATCCTTTGGGTCTCCAGAAGGAGAGCGCAGTCTGAAGGGGGACGACGATATGGGGAGAGGACAGCTTAGGAGCTAGACCAACCACTGTTCACATCTGTACTGGTGGGGCCGATGTTCTAATTTCTAGTGCAATAAATGGTCACACTGTGTGTGTGTGTGTGTGTGTGTGTGAGAGAGAGAGAGAGAGAGAGAGAGAGAGAGAGAGAGAGAGAGAGAGAGATGGAGGGGAGGAGAGGGTTTCTAAAAAATAACCTTAGGGATGGCCGCTTGGGGCAGGATGAGGGACGTGAGGAGGAGCCATGGGGGACTGGGAAAGTCAGGTTTGTGGATTGATAAAGCACTGCAGAGGCCAGACCCAGGGTTCACAGGCAAGGAAATGTTTGTAACCAACCCCTCCCTCGGTTTGCGGGCTAATCTTTTCATCACAAAGAAGCTATGAAGGGAAAAGAACTGGAAGGGCTGGGGGGCAGCTGGTCCCTGGGAGAGCCAATGTGGGACCCACAAGGGGGAAAGCAAAGACTTTTAAAAAAATTCCTAGGGCAGCCCCGGTGGCCCAGTAGTTTAGTGTCCCCTTTCAGCCTGGGGTGTGATCCTGGAGACCCGGGATCAGGTCCCACGTCGGGCCTCCCTGCATGGAGCCTGCTTCTCCCTCTACCAGTGTCTCTGCCTCTCTCTGTCTGTCATGAATAAATAAATACAATCTTTTAAAAAAATAAATAAATAAAATCCCCAGCTAACGTCTAGGCTCATCCCCCCCCCCCATGTGCCCATGTAAAAAGTTCAGAGACTCAAAAATTAACCACTTACCTCCTCCCTCTAACTGTCAGAGGCGCAAGGAGCACAGACACAATGGGCTTAGGAGGGGAAACCGTTTTACTTGGGCGGTCAAGACACGGGAAAGAGAAAAGCATGCATCTGGAGAAGCCCCTCATCCCGAAGCGAGGGCGTCCCCATGCCCCCCAGGTCCCCTCCCCGCTGGGAAGCCAAGCCCCAGCCAGGATCCGGGCTGGAGCTTTGACTTGCCAGCTGCCCCCAATCCCCCCCGGGTTTTTCCAAAACTAGATGCTAGTTTGGTTACTACGTGACCTCCCGGTCACCTGTGTCTTCTACAAGTTCTCCAGCTGGATTTCAGCAATTTAGGATAAAAAGCGCCGGGCCTCTGCGACCTCCGGGCGGCTCCTCAGGCCTCGTGGGGCAGCTTGGTCAGGACCTGCACGCCCTCCGACGTGATGAGCACTGTGTGCTCGAACTGGGCGGACCTGAAACACACGCGCGGTCAGGCCGCCAGAAAGCGCCCGCGGGGCGGGGAACAGCAGCCTAAGCCGTCGGACCGACATTCCCTTCCCATATAATTTCAAGGCAATAGCACCGAGAGCAAACACCTTTGATTGTCCAGGGAGACCACAGTCCAGGCATCTTCCAGGACTCGAAATTCAGGGGATCCTTCGGTTATGATTGGCTCTGTAAGAGGGAAAATATTTACTGCAGTGATCTAATCATGTTCTTGTCAAATATGGTTTGGGCTGATTATGAAAAAAAAAGGGGGGGAGAATAAGAAGGTTCTCCTCCCCTCCCCCCAAGTGCTTCCCCGTGGG